TATCAGATGGGCCCTGTGGACGTGGAAGTTCTCTGGCCATTTATGGTGTGAGTAGCATTTCATCCTCACTCCCTTCGTCCTTCCCATCCCCACCATCAGGGAACTGGCAGCAGTGCACTTATTTGAGCTCTGTGATGTGCCTCTCGGTGCTGCAAGGTGCCTCTCGGTGCTGCAGACTACTCTCTCATTTGCTTCCAATGTGTCCCACCCCTCCTCTACTTCCCCCCCCCCCCCTCCTCCCCTTTCCACCTCCTCTCCACATTTCCACCATCAGGTGCAACGAGCAGCCTGTCGGAAACCTCTGCACCTCCTGCAAGGGGGTCACAGCACTCAGATTCTTTGACCTCTGTGAGGTGCCTCTCGGTGCTGCAGACTCTTGTCTTGTCTCACTTGATTCCAATCTTTCTCCACATCCCCACCATCAGGTGCAACGAGCAGCCAAGGGAGTGGCGGCAGTCAAATTCTTCGAGCTCTGTGAGAGGTGCCTCTCGGTGCTGCAGGGTGCCGTTCGGAGCCGCAAGGTGCCTCTCGGTGCTGCAGGGTGCCGTTCGGAGCCGCAAGGTGCCTCTCGGAGCTGCTGACTACTCATTCGATCCCATTGTTGCCCTTCCCTCCCCCACCATCAGGTGCAACGAGCAGCCAAGGGAGTGGCGGCAGTCAAATTCTTTGAGCTCTGTGAGGTGCCGCTTGGTGCTGCTGACTACTTCGCCCTCTGCAGTAAGAAATGTGCCCCTCGGCCGAAAGCCGCCGCCGCAAGCCGTTGACACAAGAGAAGGAAACTCATCTAGAAAGAAAATAATAGAGCCAGGAACTCTAGGTAGAATGGTTTTTTGTTTTTTTTTGTTTTTACATGTTCCAAAAACCCAATATCCCTTTGCGGTATGTCTCGTTCCTTCGTTGTGAGACCTATATAGACCCGATATTCCTTCCCAGTATGTCTCATTCACTTGTTTTGAGACGTTCCAAAACTCGATGACCCTTTTCCAGTTTGTTTTATTCCTTTGTTTGCAGCCTCCACAGATCGAATGCCTCTCATTTCTTCTATTGTTCCAATCTATCCCTTTATTTTCAGAGAATTTTCACACCATAGCCATGGAGGGCATTCCCATATTTGGGGCGTCTAACAGAGGGGCGGCGTATCGATTCGTCACTCTTATAGATGTGAGTGCGCCTTGCATTATTGCCACTTCATTCGTTACAGTGGCCTTCACACAGCATATTATCCGTCCTGTGTCGGGAATGTCTAACAGAGGGGCAGCGTATCGATTCATCACTCTAATAGATGTGAGTGAGTATTACTAGCGCTGGTTCCTTTCTATCAGCCTGTCCTCGTTCGTCTCTGCACATGATGTGTGAGTTGCATGGATGTGTGGACATATGTCTCATAGCCACATAGCATCCATGATGGGAGTAGCACATATGTCACATGATGCTACATGACATATGTGAAAGTAGCATGGCAGAAAGCCGAGTGTTATTGATTGGTGAGCAGTAGTGTTGTTCGCATCGTGGAGTGAAGATTGGAAACTTTGATTGGCATGATGACATGTGCCAAAGTAAGGAACACTGGCACACCAGTCGTCACACTTAGCAAAGTGTCACTTTACACTTAGCATACCACCTTATACGAGGTACCAGGTCACACAATTGAGCAGGAGACCCACCAAACTAGACTCGCACAGACGTTAGCATGAAGCTGTATATGATGAGGGTGTATATACCAGACTCCTGCCCTCTACCTATACGAGTTCTGTATATGCTGAGGCTTCATCCCTGCCTGCTACCCCAGTTGGCCCTCTCCCCCTTTCATTCCTTCCCCTCTTCCCACATGAGCATGGCGACAAGTCCTGGCTTGATTCGTGCTCAAGTTACTCCTGCTGTGACTCTCGGCCTTGTCTTTAGGCCTTGACTTATTTCTTCCCACCGACCCCCCTCTCCTCTCCCACCCCACTGGTCTGCCTGGTCTGCTCAGCAGAAGGCACTCCTGTTGAGCTTTTGAGAATCGTCAAAAGTAGATTCAACCACAACCCACCCAACCCCCCCCCCTTCTCCCTCTCCCACTTTCCCCCCACTAAATCCCTTTTTCTCCAAGTGCGACACAAGCCCAAGACGCGCCTTGAGTTGAGCTCGAACCTGTCTCTGGATCTTGGTTTGTTACTTATCACCCAACCACCCATCTACCCCTTACTCTCCCGCCCCACCCCTCCTTCCTTTCCGACCCCTCCCCAGGTGATGTACGAGCACAAGACCCGCCTGGTCTGCTCAGCAGAGGGCACCCCCTTGGATGAGCTTCTGTGATTGCTCAAGAGTCAATTTCCTCCCCCCTTCCCGTTTCCCCCCCCCTTCCAAGTGATGTACGAGCACAAGACCCGCCTGGTCTTCTCAGCAGAGGGCACTCTCTTGGATGAGCTTCTGTGAGTTCTAAGGAGTCATATTCTTCCCTTTCCCCCTTTCCCCTCCCGCTCAGGTGATGTACGAGCACAAGACCCGTCTCGTCTGCTCAGCAGAGGGCACCCCCTTTCAGCTCTTTGAGCGTGTGGTTACCATCGCAAATGCGCCACGTAGGACAGCTGCCAGGTCAGCGAGATCCGAGGATGCTGATGTGGCAGTGGATGACGAGCTGGGATTCGCCAAGGACCGCACAGTCAGCAGGTGAGGCAGCAATCAACGACTCCCTTTGCAGGCGAATAGAGTGTATTCACCAATTCATGGTTCCCACCTTTTTGTTTCTATGCTCAGCTCTTACTGTCCTACCTATTTTGACCGATTTTCTGCCACAGGATGATGGAGATGCAGAGTACAGAGTATGAGCACGACAATGCGGTGGCTTACAAGCACATGTTACAGCAACCTTAGTACCTGGTGCAAATTTGCAAACGTGCTACATACATGCCCTATTATTGCTGTAAGGAATATAAGAATTTGTAATCTGTATATGCACAAAGTAGAAAATATGTCAAAGGTAGATGGGTTTGAGAGAGGGTGAAGGATATGATGAAATGTGAGAGAGTGAAGGAATTAAGGCAAGAAAAGGCATCTAGCACATTAAGTGTGATTTTGTTGTATGAAGTGTGATGTGATTGTATCTGTACTCACGCCCTTCTGGGGAGATGTACAGCGCCTTTCCGCTAGATATTATCGAATATGAGATGTCACATGTTCAGAAGTTTGTGAGTCAAGTATACCCCAACGACTTCTGTTGTCCAGGCGGTGTGATACGCACATGACTGTCACGACAGGCAAGACTTTGATGACATCGCGTCGCATCCCATCACCCCATCATATTTTCCCTCATTAGTGCGCTTCCACCCAGTTCGCCAGCAAGGCTGCGTCGCCAGCTTCGCAGCACCTCCAAGTGAGGCTTTCTCGCCACGCAACGACATGGTTGCCTGGCGAGGCGAGCAGCGATAGTTCGCAACATTGCAACGAGGACATTTGATTGGATGAGGCGGGTAGCTGCGACACTGTGTGAAGAAATGAGGAAGCATAGTGAGGAGCCATAGCTAGGGTTTAGCTAGCTAGGCAAGAGAGAAATGAACAAAAGGAGGGCTTTGCACTAGCAAGCAGGTGGATACAAATAGGAAACCCTAAGGGGTTGTACTCGCTATAGAGTACCCCACTGCAGGCTAGACAAGCATTATATTCTAACACACTGCTCGAAGTCGGTAACCCGAGAGGTCTCTTCCCCACCTACCAGCCGAACTCCCACCCACACATACAAAGCGAGGTGAAATAGCATTCCGACCAGGCCTTTTTTTTGGTTTTGGAGCACTCTTGTTTCCAGAGGCGTTTTTGGCCTAACCCTTAAATCCAGAGTGGCTGGCGAGCGTTGCTCTTAAATGTCAGTGTAACACGTGCTGTCAATTTAAAAACCCTGTTACTTCAGAGTAACTTTCATCTGTAACCCTGGTGGTTACCCATTGTTTGCTATTGCTGTTGCATTGCCAGAATTATTGAATTTTTTAAACTTTGTACACAATGACCTACTACCACAAGCTCACTCATCGTAAGCCACGTCATCCTCCCGTTCGTCGTCCCAACTAGCCTCTGGCCCGCCCTTGTCATTGGCTGGTTGGAAGGGTGCAGGGGATTTTGTAGGCCGCCTCTTCTTCTGCTTGCGCCAGATGTCCACGACATCTGGCCACTCCACGTTGTAATCGAGCATGTGGATGCTCATGAGTTTGGTGAGCCGCGTGTCGTTGAGAGCCGTGCGCTGCCAGCTCTTGATGATGTTCTGTCGTGAAAATCCATGCTCACATTCGACGGTGCTGAGTGGCAGGACGGCCAACGCCTGCCACAGGGTCATGATGTTGGGGTAAGTTCGCCGCCAGTCGCGTGACCTCAGCATGTTCGTCAGCGCCTGGTAGAAGTCCTCGTCCTCGTGGTGCGTCCTCATGACGTGGCAGAAAGTTTTCAGCTCAAGTTCGGCTGCCCGCATTTCGAATCCTGCCAAAACAGTAAGCGCATCACAACGTTTTTTATGTACGGAAATGTTAGGTACACATTGACGAGAGGCATTATTTCAGGGAAAGCACACATACACGATCGAAAAGATATACACATACCTTGCAGCTGGTGGTTGAAGAGTTTAGAGTTCTCGCGGAGCCACGTGGCACAACGTCTCACACGCGTGTCCGGATTCGCTAGCCACTTGTCCACCCTGAAAAGCTTCAAGCCGCCCATTCGACGAAGATCTCGCATGCGGTGCTTCAGGTTGTACATGACCTCACGGGCGAAGGCCTTGCCCAACTTCACGCAATCTGCAAGCGTCCCGCCGAACTTGTGCTTCTTGTCCGCCAGCTCGCTGAGCTCGAAGGTGTGCTTGACGGGTATGCCGCTAGCGTCCACGCCGTCCACCTTCACCATGTTGTCCCCTTTCTTGACACGTGCCATGAATGGAGACAGGATGGGGCTCAGACCCGCCCCGAAACCACCATCGTAGTCGATGTAGCGGTGCTCGATGAGGGACACCACACGGTCGACCTCCTCTGTGACTTGCGTCACCTCCACCTGACGCACCGACATGTGCGCAAAAAGGTTTGTTAGTCTGTGTGGGCAAATGAAAATTAAACAAGGCTAAACGAGTGTATCAACAATCCTTTCGGGCACGTTTTACCTTGCGTCGTTGGAAGAAACGGTTCAGGGAGTTCAACTCCCCCAAAATGTCTGCCAGGAAATACAGACAGAAGTGGAATTTCAGGGTCTTCACAACCGAGGCGATCTTGTGCTTGTACTCCAGAAAGAGCACGATTGTCGACCCCAAAATCTTGACAAGCCGGTTGACCGCATCGGCACGGGAGAGCCAACGCACGTCGAACAGTCCATGGTGCTCGAGGTTGGTGCTGTGGATCACGATCTGGAGCTCTTTGAACCGCTCGTACCACGGCGTGGATCTCCCCACGATCTCGCCCACTGCACGGATGGCCTTGTCTACCATCCGAAGATCTTGGAACTGCTCGGCTTCGGCCGTCTCCTTCACAGCAAGTGCTTCGCTGCAAGCAATAGTGGGGTGAGCAGAAAAGGATTGTTACATTACTTTAAAGATCGACTAACGTAAAACCGGTCATTTAAAATTATCAGCCACGACACAAGTACCGATGCGCAATGCAGTGGCAGCCGACGAGGTGGGGGACGTGGACGCGCAGTCGCGTGACAACGCCGGACGTGCCCCCAATCATCACTGCCGCGCCGTCCGTGGACATTCCGGAAATCTTCTTCAGGTCGACGCCCACTGTCTCGAGATGCTGGAGCAGTGCGCCCATGAGCGATGCCGCATCACATTGCTGCACGGCTAGTAACGCGAGGAACTCGGTTACAACCACGCTGTTCTTGAGGAACGTGACAAACACAATCATGTGTTTGCCACGGGCGCGATCGGTACTCTCGTCGCACATGAGGCCGATGAAGGGCGAGGCGTAGAGGACGCGCAATTGCTCCCTGGTCAGATATGCGGTGAGAGCCTTGGCCATCTCGGAGAAACCGTACCTGCGCATTCACATAGCACAACGCATTAGCCTCGTTAAACAAAGACGGTTGCTTCGAATACAAACCAGTCAACAGCAACTCACTGCGTGATGTACACTCCATAGCTTTGTTGCGGAATGTTGGCGACCCCCTCCTCTGCGAGAAGCTGCACGACCTGTGGGTACATGTGGATAGGTGTGTCGGTACGGCACACAAAACGCATGGCGCGCATGAGTACCGCGACGCGACAGCCTTCCGGATCTCCATTCGCGAAGTCTTCAATCTTCTTCTGGTCCACGATCTTCTGCAGAAGGTTTGCCTGTTTTTTCATGGCGTCCTCGTGCTTCGCGCTGTTCTCGTGCCACCGCATCGACCCGATCTGCAGATCACGACCGCCAGCGCCATTGCGACCGTAACGCGCGTTGTCCCTCCCGTGCTCCATGCAGACACTGCAGCGCAGGCACGGGTCACCCTCTGGCGTCTTGTCCATAATCAGCCAGTCAAACTTCGGCAGCCAATCAGACTTGTAGCTCTTATGCGCCTTCAGGTACGCCTTCTCCTTCTTCTCCTCGTCTGTAAGGGGACGAATGGGGGGTGGGGCAGCACGGGGAGGTGGAGCGACGGGCTTCGGAGGCGCTGTTCCCCACTGCAAAACCTGCTGTGTGTACCGCCGCTTCGAAGAAGCGACTGAAAAGGATGACTCAGGAGTGGCCGCATCGACGACCTGCGTTGCAACCGTTTCGGCCGGCTCTGCAGCAACCTCGTTTTGCGGCGAGGCGATCCACTCCTCAACACCGTCGGACTCAGCAGCGTCATTCATCGGGCGCGGAGAAGGACACCAATCGTCGTACGCATCTTCCATGCCGCCACTCTCCTTGCCAGGACGGCGAATCCATTCGGTACCGCCATCGGCCAGCTCCTCCTCATCGCGAGCGTTATCTGCATGCACAGCGCGGAGAAACTGAAGCCCTGTCGCAGGGGGTGTGATACATGTCGGCCTGTCGTCGGGATCAGCCGCGTCTCCCTCGGTGTCGCTAGTATCCATGATATTGACGGCAAAAAAAAAAGGTTAGGGAGGCGGGTCTGTGGCTGGAGAAGCCCTCGGAACACTTGCTAGACTGGAACGTTGAAGAGCAGTGCCGGGTGGAAGAAACATAATGGCTCGGACAGGATGGGGTTTGGTGGTGACCCCGTATGCCTGCCGAGCAACAGGTGTGGATGTGCGCGCCGCGCACGAATTCAGTGCACCACAGGAAGCTGCCGTATCATGCCCGAAAGTTGAAGTTGTTCATTGCTGATGGGGTACGCAAAGCCATCGATGTATCCACTGGGTGGCCAGTTGAGTGCGCTGGCACGAAATATGCCATTCCGGCCAATCGGCACCTCAGGTTGTGCCAACACACGGGCGAAACAACACTGATATCCCCTGCGCTCCGGTCCAAACCGGCATCGTGGGGATAAGGGGGACCTAAGGGGGTCGGGGGGGGTACATGTATCCCCCGTTCAGAGTAAACTCACTATTCGAGAAAGGAACACTGGCGCTCCAGAGTGAACTTACACAAAAACCCTGGCTGATCAAAGAACAAGTAACTCTAAAAAAAAATACCCAGCAGTTACAGAGTGCCCCCCTAAAAACCACTCTGATTTTCAGAGAAACAGAGTAAATTACACTGATAAAAAATCCCCTGATTCCAACATTCACCCATATTCTAGTAGTCGACGGTATTTCCATCACTTACAGATACCTTATTTCCCAACAAAAGCTCTCTAGCTGGTTCTCTTACTGCAACAGCCAAATCGCCTCTGTCTTTTGAGAAGTGCATCGCACGTCTTAATATTCCCGAAAGCAATCAATACTTCATCACTCGCATGTTGAAGGAAATTGGCCCCGCCCTCGCATAGGCACAACTGGCTTCATGGTCGGGTGTGCGGGAGGTGCAGCCGACCTTCTACAGGAGTACAAGGGTTGCCTGTACACGAGGTGTACTAGGGAATCCATGCAAGGGTAGCAGAAGCATCCATCACAGATGTCCCATGCACATGTACAAATGGCGCAGCTTGTACAGAAGTTCGCGGTGTTCGTCTGCGCAGGGTCGCGTCTGGCCCTGCGCAACATTGAGACTCCACAGGCGAATTTTGGCCAGCAACTCGAATGTGCCCTAATTTCGACCAATCAGGAGCTGACATTTTGAAATGTCAACCGAGGTGTTCAACGAAGGTGCTCGACGAAGGTCGTCGAGCAGCAACGACGAAGGTCGTCAACCTGCGACGACGAAGGTCGACAACTGGTGATGACGAAGGTCATCATCCTGCAGAGATGTCAAGTAATTCATCTGGTTGACCAAGTTACCTGCTCGACGAGGTGCGCGAAGGTGTGCGAACGTCGTCGAGGCTGTTGTGGCAAAGTCGACCGGCGTGGCAGCACGTGGTCGACGTGGCTCATCATGTGCAACCGTCAGCATGTGGCTGACAACCTGCGCAATGTGTGTGACAGTGCACGTCGTGCATAACTGTCTACAAGCACCTGCGAAGTAGGTGCCTGCACATATGCTTACAATCACCTGCGGATGCAATGTTGGCAAGCCGCGCGGATGCTACGTTGGCAAGCCGCGCGGGTGCAGCGTTGGCAGGCCGCCATCTGCAGCGTTGGCGAGTCGCGTACAAGCTGCGTTGGCAGACCGCGGACTTGCTTCGTTGGCAGGTCAACAACTCTGTCATGCTGGCACTCGACCTGCCTGAGCACTAGCAAACCTTGCATGTGATGTAGTCAATCTTTGCCATTGCTTGTTCTCATTCTGAACTCTGTATCCTCAACTTTTCCTTAGTGAAACTCTTGCTGTTTGCCCTGTGAAAACACAAGTCCTCGAGAACACAGACAGAGCTACGATCACTCTACCAACTCGTGCCTACCCTGCAGTCTAGCTCCCACCGTTGTAGAGTTAATCTCCTCATCGCATTCGCTTTGGCGCATCCCATCTCCCCTGATTCCCGTCTTCACACATTTCGGACCCTTCTCGATATTCTTTCTGCCTCCCCGGCGTGCATGGCCCTTCAACACCATGGCAGCGTTGCGGCAGGTTTGAAAAAACTTCCCTCGAGCCAAATCCGCCAAATCGCGTCCTCCTCGTTCCGTCGCGAGGCGGCTCGCACCTTCGAGACCATCGACCTCGACAAGGATGGGAAAATCTCCGCCCACGAGCTCGCGACGCTCCTAGCGCGGCTGGACAAAGCAGCTGCTAGGTCGAAGCGTGGATTGTGCGGTAGTGGTATTAGGTTGCTCGAGGAAGATGGTGATTTGATTGGCTTTGTGGAGGATGTGATTCGAGAAGCTGACGTGGACGGCGACGGGATGATTGATTTCGAGGAGTTTTTGCTCTCGGCGCGCGCAGAGCCGTCCCTCCTGGGTGAATACTTCGTCTCAGTTCCATCATCCGATGATGAGGAATCAGAACCGGACGGTGGAAGTGACTCAGAAAAGGACGAGATGGAAGGAGATTTGTTTCGCGCGTTTGAGGTTTTTTACCGTGACAGCAATGGGGTTATTACCGCGGAAGAGCTACAGTTCGTTATAGGTGTTTTTCATGGGGATGATTTCACGATGGAAGACTGCAAACGGATGATAAAGCGGGTGGACACTAACGGGGATGAATGTGTGGATTACAGTGAGTTCAGGACCATGATGGCTGTGATTTTCGATTGACTCTTAGGGTTGAGCTAGACGATGAATGATTTGCTTTTATTGAATTCTGATTGTATTGGCGAATAATGAGATATTAACACACTTGGACACCCAAGCAACCTCTACCAACCCACAGCCCCCCACCCAACGAATGCACTACACTCAGGTCGCGCCACCTCCCTGGGTGATTCCCTTCCCACACACACAAGCCCTCCTGAGGACGCGGTAAAAGTGCTCAATCGGTAAAAGAGCTCACGCATATACTATGTCCCTCCATTTCAGCTTCAGCAGCAGCATTCCTGGCCTTCTTCCTGGCCAGCAACAGGCAGCTGAGTTTATGGCTCCTGTTGCTCGGCCTTGGCCGGTGCTGAGGCTGCTGCGGAGGAGTCTGTGGCTCCTGTCTCCTTTATAAGGTCAGTCACGTTCCGCTCTAGCTCGTCTATGCGTGTGCCCATCTCGTCAAGTGTTAAGGATAAATGGATTAGGAGAACCGGAATAGGAGAGAGAGAGGATTGAGGCGAGTGCGAGACAGGGAAGAGGACGGGGGGCAAGAGAGAGAGAGAGGAGAGTGCGTTAAGGATGAACAACAGGCATGGCAGGAGAGAGGTGAAGAAGAGAAGGGAGATGAGCAAACAAACGCTCCTGATTGTAAACGACCGAAAAACACATGACATAACATGCAATGTGAAAGGTGGACATGAGAGGGAGGTGGGTGGAAGAACAGGGAGGAAGTAAAACGCGAAGTAAAGGAGAGGGAGGAGGAAAAGGGCAATGGAGGGCGGCAAGGCGGATATTCCTCGAGATGATCGTCTCGGACATGGTTTGAAAGCGAGCTTGCTGCATGGGAGGTTGGTGCAAAACGGACAAATACGGTTCGATGAGACTTCAAACAAGTCTAGTGTTGGCCTTCCTCGAGATGATCGTCTCGGACATGGTTTGAGACGTCTCAAAACGCTTTTATTATCACGTGGCTATTCCTCGAGATGATTGTATCGGACATGGTCTGGAAGCGTGCTTGCTGCAGGGCACCGGAACAGAGAGCAGGTGGAGGGCACGGCGCAATGGAAAGAAAACAGATTGAAGAAAAATGAATTCGGGCTTTACTAAGTGTATGTGGAGGAACATGATGGCACGGAATGGAAACGCGGATTAGGGAGCAGAGAAGATGGACGAGAGGCGAGAGTGAAGTAATGAAAGCAAGATGATTTGACTGGTATTGCGGGACATGGAGATGACTTTTGAGTCGACTCAAAAGTCAGCTCGGGACATGGCGCCTTTCCATTTGCTGAAAGAGCGTTTGTTGAGTTGACTCAGAGCTAGGGAAAGCAAGATGATGATTTGAGTGGTACTAGGGGGCATTGAGGCTCACCATTTGCTGAAGAAGCGTTTGTACCTGCAAGGTGGGACACACAGAGGGGCAAGAGAAAGTGAGTGCAGTGCATGGGAATCACACTGTACACGCACATAGCATCACGCGCGAATAGCATCGAAAGCGAATGCACAGCATCATGCGTACACTTCTTTTCTAGTCGAGTTAGGTGCTAGGGTATTATGCACACATCACATCTTTTTAAATCACATCACAGATCGGCCAAGTCAATCTGTGGAGCGTCACATGCGCGCCTTGCATGGTGCGCTACATACACGTCTTGCACGGTCCATCACATGCGTGTCTTAAAGGTGGACAGAAGTTGGTGTGACGATTTTTGAGTCGACTAAAAAATCGTCTCATCACGCGTGCGTGACTTGCAGGGAGGATCAAGTGCGTGTCTTGCAGGCGGGCATATGTTGGTGTATGGAAACGAGGATAGCGCTGATGACATGGAAACAATCCCATACGGGAAGATGCTGAAAAGGCAGATTCAAGCATGGCATGCGTGTCTAGACGGACAGAAGTTGGTGGATGGAAACGAGGATAGCGCTGACGACATGGAATTAATCATGTATGCGAATATGCAAGCATGGCATGGCATAGCATAGCATGGCATGGTATGGCATAGCATGGTATGGTATGGCATAGCATGGTATGGTATGGCATAGCATGGCATAGCATGGCATAGCATGGCATAGTATGGCATAGCATGGCATGGCATAGCATAGCATGGCATAGTATGGCGTTATTGGCATGGTCTGGCACGGCAACTGACAAAGGCTGTGAGGTCAGCAACGTTGTGAGGCGCTGCTGCTTCTGCCTGTGTCCCCCCTGTGGTGCCCTGTGACTGTGGATCCGACGGTGCTGCCGCGTTCCCTGAGGAATCCTGCCAGCGAGAAGGGGGGGGCGGAAGGGGGATAGGAGGGGGCTTTTGAGGCGCGTCAAAAGGCGTTCCCCCTGTGGTGCCCTGTGACTGCGGATCCGACGCTGCTGCCGCGTTCCCCGAGGATTCCTGGGAGCGAGAAGGGGCGCGGAAGGGGGAGAGGAAGGGGGTAGGGGAGGCGGAGGGGGAGAAGGGGAGAGAGGGGGAAGAGGGGAGGAAGAGAGGACGGAAGGACGGGAGGAGGGGAGGGGGTGAAGCAGGGGAGGGGCGCGGAAAGGGTGAACCACTGGTGTGTGTGTCACCCGATGATCCTGGCTATGAGGTTAACAGAAGGGAGGTGCAAGGAGGGAGGAGCGAAGGAGGAATTCGTTTACATGCGGCACGATGTATGGGAGGGGATTTTTGACTGGCATGGCGATTCATACCATGAAGTAACAGCGAAAAACGGGTAGTGCGATGACGCGGAATACGCCGAAAATCACCGCCAAGTCCCAGGAGATTACGAGTTACAGAAGCGCGGCCTACTAGTGAGAAGGAACATGAGATAATACGTATGGAGAGGGCGCAGCGGAAGAAGCGGAGTGCAGCCACAAGAGTGCGGAGATGGTGAGAAGTGGTTTGAGAATCTCTAAAAAACCGAAGGGCAGGTGAGGGGGCGTTCGTTTCAGATAATTTGCGAAACAGGTTCCGTGTTCGCTTGTAGCTGTACTTCCTATGCATTTTAAAATATAGGAGACGTAACTCACCGAGGCTCGTATGATAGATCGCGACAAGCCAAGAGCGGCTGCGAGTAACAAGCAACCTCTCGCCCAGCCAGCATTCAAGTGCTAACGATTCGGGTTACTGTTTGGCTGGGGTGTGGTTACCTCGTAAAAGCAGCTGCTATTGTTTCGCAAATGAATTGTTGCAGTTTGCGGGGGAAACCTGGTTGAATCTGACAGGAATGTATTCTGTACACTTCCGGGATGATCCGCGAAATTTACGGAAATTTCAAAACAAATGAATGCCGCCTGAACCATCCTAAGAATGTGTGTGGTGCGAAGGCGTAAATGACTAACCAGGTTGCCGCATCCTAGCAGCCAGGCTTCTATCGAGGTGACTGTAACGAGAGTGAGTTAAAACCGAGAGCGCGAGCGCCATGGGTCACGCGGCGTTTCAGCTCGTTCGCGCCATAACCCTAACGGACACCACTGGTAGCTCTCGCTCTTCTCCTGCTCCCCCGAGTACCGCTCTCAGCCGCTTCCTCGGTCCCGCCGCGACGGCGACGGCGTCGCCGAGTCGCATTCTCTGCTGCACCCAATGGCGCTCCTCCATTCTCATTGGCTGCAGCGACGGCGCGCTGTTAGAGTACCGCCCGGCAGGATCATCAGCGGCGACGGACCAATCAGCGGCTTCCGCGCCGCGTGTCGCGGCCGGCAACGGTGGCTATTCGCTGTTCGCACGGAGGGACGGTTTCGCGCCATCCGCCATCCTGCGACTCGAAGTCGCCGCGCTACCGACAGCTGCTGCTGCTGATAGTTCCGCCACCCCCGCCGCTTCCGCCGCATCCGCCGCGTCTGGGGCGGCGGGCGTGCTGATCGCGCTGGCGGACTGCGTGAGGCTGGCAGCGCTGCCGACGCTGGAGCCGCTGACGTGTCTCCCGCGCACAGCTGGCGCCACGTCATTGGCGTGGGACGCGGAGGGCGGCGTGCTGTGCGTGGCGATCAAGAGGAGAGTGCTCGTGCTGCGGTTTGACGGTGAGTTGATGCAGGTTGGGAATGGTTAAATGCGGTGAGCAACGGTAAGTTAGGGGTGAATTCAATGTTTGTAGAGGAAGGTGGAGGGTGGCGTGATGTGTGTGGCGATCAAGAGGAGAGTGCTTGTGGTGTGGTTTGATGGTGAGCTTGTGTTGGTTAGGAATGGTTTAATGCGGTGAGACATGGCACTTCAGAGGAGAGAACTTGGCGTGCTGTGTGTGGCGATCAAGAGGAGAGTGCTCGTGCTGCGGTTTGATGGTGGGTCGTTGTGGGTTGGGAATGGTTGAAAGTGGTGCCACTGCCAGTGGTACTGCTGCGTATCTCCTCTCCTGCCACCTCTCTCATCTTTCTTCTCTCATCTCTTCTTTCCTCCCTTCCTCACTCGTCCTCATGCCTCCATCAATCCACCCTAACCACTCCTCCCCAGGCCGAGCAACCTTCTAGAAGGAAGGAGCGCGAGTTCACGTGCCCAGATGCCCTCACAGGACCTTCATCCCATCCCCTCCCCTTCTCCTCCTTGCTCTTCCCCTTCAGTCCAACTCTTTCCGACTCCTTCCCTTTCTGAGTCTTTCCTTCTCGGCTCTCCCCCAGGCAGTTCAACTTGCGAGAGTTCACGTTCACGTGCCCACACGCCCCTCCTCTTCGTTCCTTCTCCCTTCCCGACTTTTGAGGCGCCTCAAAAGCTGAGGCCGCTCAGTCCATCCCTTCCTCTTCCTCCTCCTTCTCCCTTCCCGTCTTTCCCTTCCCCGTCTTTCCCTTCCCCGTCTTTCCCTTCCCCGTCTTTCCCTTCCCCGTCTTTCCCTTCCCCGTCTTTCCCTTCCCCGTCTTACCCTTCCCCACCCCCACGCCGTTCAACCTTCAAGGAGGAACGAGAGTTCACCTGTCCAGACACCCCTCGCCTGCTCGCCCTGTGTTTCCGCCCTCCCCACTTCCTCCTCACATCCTCCGCCTTCTCCCTCCCTTTCCCTCCCTCATCCCTCCCAGCCCAGGCACTTCGACCTTCAAGGAGGAGCGAGTGTTCACCTGCCCAGACACCCCTCTGAGGCCACTCACTCCATCCCTTCCTCTTCCTCCTCCTTCTCCCTTCCCATCTTACCCTTCCCCAACCCCACGCCGTTCAACCTTCAAGGAGGAACGAGAATTCACCTGTCCTGACGCCCCTTCATCCCATCCCCTCCTCTCCCTCCTCATTCTCCCTTTTTTTCCCAACCATTCCCCTCTCCCGACCCCCCAGGCCGTTCAACCTTCAAGGAGGAACGAGAATTCACCTGTCCAGACGCCCCTCGCCTGCTCGCCCTGCCCTCGCCCACCACCCTCTGTGCCGCCACGCCCACCAAGTACCTTCTGCACCACATCCCACCGCCCGGCACCGCTGGCAGCGGCGGCTCGTGGCGGGACATGCTGCCGTGCGGGCAGGTGGCGCCGCCTAGTGTTGTGAAACTGCCGCGAGGGGAGATGCTAGTCGGCAAGGTGAGACTGTTTGGAGTCAAGGCGGAGGGAGGGAGGCAGGTTCAGGTGTGGTTACCATGCTGCCGTGCTGCCGTGCGGGCAGGTGGCCCCTCCCAGTGTGGTGAAGCTGCCCCGAGGGGAGATGTTAGTCAGCAAGGTGAGACTGTTTGTGGTATTGGAGGAGGGAGGGAGGCAGGCAGGTGCATGTGTGGCTCGTGGTGTGACATACATGCTGCCGTGCGGGCAGGTGGCCCCACCTAGTGTTGTAAAGCTGCCCTGGGGAGAGATGTTGGTGGGCAAGGTGAGATTGTAGTAGTGGGAGGGAGGGAGGGCTCGTGCATGTGTGGCACCGCTGGCAGCGGCGGCTCATGGCGGGACATGCTGCCGTGTGGGCAGGTAGGCGCCTCCCAGTGTGGTGAAGCTACCCCGTGTGGGCAGGTAGGCGCCTCCCAGTGTGGTGAAGCTACCCCGTGTGGGCAGGTAGGCGCCTCCCAGTGTGGTGAAGCTACCCCGTGTGGGCAGGTAGGCGCCTCCCAGTGTGGTGAAGCTACCCCGTGTGGGCAGGTAGGCGCCTCCCAGTGTGGTGAAGCTACCCCGTGTGGGCAGGTAGGCGCCTCCCAGTGTGGTGAAGCTACCCCGTGTGGTCGGCAAGGTGAGGTCTTAGGAGGTGGCATGTGGGCAGTGTGTGCAGGTGGCCGCGCCTATTGAGGTGATGGTTGTGGGGTCCACGTGCAGGTGAGCCTAAAAAGCGCACCTCAATACAGAGAGATGCTGTGGGCAGGTGGCCGCGCCCTGTGTTTGTCAAGTTGCCACCTGTCCAGATGTTTCTCGCGAAGGTAGACTGCTGCTTTTTTTTAGGCGCCTTTTGAGGCGATTTTTTAGGCGCCTGAAAAAATTCCAGTGTTTGTCAAGTTGCCACCTGTCCAGATGTTTCTGGCGAAGGTAGACTGCTGCTTATTCTCCCTTGCTCCTCTCCTTCCCGCTGAGCCCCCCCCCCCCCTCAACCCCCCATCTTAACCATCCGCCATCAGGAAAGCACAAGGCTCTTCCTTGACGCCTCTGGCGTACAATGCATTGTGGCGTGTACAATGCACCGTACGTCGGTTTCTTTAGAATTTTCAAAAAGCACATGCTACAATGCACCGTACGGCCCCATCAACCTTTGCCTCTCCTCTTCCGCCACACCTCTCTGCTCCCCCCCCCCCTCAGGACAGCATAGGGCTCTTTCTTGACGCCTCTGGTCGCCCTCTGCGTCTCCATTGCATCTACTGATCCCCCCCCTCCCGTCCCCTCTCCCTCCCTCTGGTCGCCCTCTGCGTCTCCATGGCATCTACTTTCACACCCCACCAACCGCCCTTCCCCTCCTCTCCCTCCCATCAGGACAGCATAGGGCTCTTTCTTGACGCCTCTGGTCTCCCTCTGCGCTCCCACGGCATCAACTGGTCGCGCCCGCCCTCCCACGTGGCTGTCATGCCACCCTACGCCCTCGCCAAGCTGCCCAACTACATTGAGGTATGGTCTTCATGTCTCTGCCTCGCTCTTACGAGTCTCTGTCATGCCATGTCCTTGTATGCACCACCGCCCTCCCACGTGGCTGTCATGCTGCCCTACGCCCTCGCCAAGCTCCCCAACTGCATTGAGGTATGCCGCGCCATCACATTTGATTCACATTGCACCCTCATGCCCATGCGCACGCGTGCACCACCTCCCACAACACTGTCATGCCACCCTATGCCGTCGCAAAGCTTCCCTACTGCACTGAGGTGCTTTTGAGAATTCTCAAAAGCCTTCATGTCCCTATGTCTGTCCGACGACTCGCTGTCATGTCATGCCTATTTGTGCTCTACCGCCCGCCCTCTTATTTGGCTGTCATGCCGTCATGAATCTTTGTGGTTGTCAAGTCAAGAGCTGCTGTTCGGGGAGAGTCGTGAGTGAGAGCAGCAGAAGATCAAGCAAGCACATGTATTGAGAATTTTGTGTCCCTCCACTCTCCTGTTTCCCCGTGCCCTCATGTTTCCCCTTGCCCTCATGTTTCCCCGTGCCCTCATGTTTCCCCTTGCCCTCATGTTTCCCCTTGCCCTCATGTTTCCCCGTGCCCTCATGTTTCCCCTTGCCCTCATGTTTCCCCGTGCCCTCATGTTTCCCCTTGCCCTCATGTTTCCCCTTGCCCTCATGTTTCCCCGTGCCCTCATGTTTCCCCTTGCCCTCATGTTTCCCCTTGCCCTCATGTTTCCCCTTGCCCTCATGTTTCCCCGTGCCCTCATGTTTCCCCGTGCCCTCATGTTTCCCCGTGCCCTCATGTTTCCCCGTGCCCTCATGTTTCCCCTTGCCCTCATGTTTCCCCTTGCCCTCATGTTTCCCCGTGCCCTCATGTTTCCCCTTGCCCTCATGTTTCCCCTAACTCCCAGGTGCGCTCCTTGCTCTTGCCTTGGTGCAAACCAAACCATCCCCCTACGGGAGAGTGCAGCCCTCAGGACCCCTCCCTCTCTCGCCACTGCCAGAGTTCTCTGTTTCCTTTCGCCTTGCCCTCATGTTCCCCTAACTGTAACCCCCAGGTGCGATCCCTGCTCCCAGGCCACGCCTTGGTGCAAACCATCCCCCTGCGGGAGAGTGCATCCCTGTGGACCCCTCCCCCTCTCCCCGTTGCCAGCTCTGGCGTTGAAGGCAGCAGCAGGGCAGCAGGGCGGTCAGCCCGGGGGGTCTTTGCAGTGGCGGAGGAGAGTGTGTACATCGTCGCTCCTGTCTCCCTTGCCGCTCAGGTGCATGTCGCTCGCGTGTCGCTCTGTGATGTGATGCAGTGCAGTGATGTGATGCAGTGCAGTGATGTGATGCAGTGCAGTGATGTGATGCAGTGCAGTGATGTGATGCAGTGCAGTGATGTGATGCAGTGCAGTGATGTGATGCAGTGCAGTGATGTGATGCAGTGCAGTGATGTGATGCAGTGCAGTGATGTGATGCAGTGCAGTGATGTGATGCAGTGCAGTGATGTGATGCAGTGCAGTGATGTGATGCAGTGCAGTGATGTGATGCAGTGCAGTGATGTGATGCAGTGCAGTGATGTGATGCAGTGCAGTGATGTGATGCAGTGCAGTGATGTGATGCAGTGCAGTGATGTGATGCAGTGCAGTGATGTGATGCAGTGCAGTGATGTGATGCAGTGCAGTGATGTGATGCAGTGCAGTGATGTGATGCAGTGCAGTGATGTGATGCAGTGCAGTGTGGTGTGGTGGTGTGCTGTGCTGTGTGGTACCAGTGCTACAAGCAGCGTCTTTGTCAAGGGTAGCAGCAGCAGCAGGGCAGCAGGGCGGTCAGCCCGGGGTGTGTTTGCAGTGGCAGAGGAGAGTGTGTATACATCGTTTGCTCTTGTCTCCCTTGCTGCCCAGGTGTGTGCTGCTTAGAGGTGTGGTACGGTGTGGTGTGGTGTGGTGTTGTTCGGAGGGTTTGTTTCACAGCTCCAAAGGCAGGGATGATGAAGAAACTTACGAATTTGTACACCCAACCAATATCTTATTACTTGAAACAAACATGACCCTCTGTGTTTTCCCCTACTCACCACCATACAGATTGATCAGCTTTTGAGTGCGGGCTTGAGGATGACAAGGCTTAAAGCCTCTCTCACACCCGTGTAACCTTAGCTGCTTCCCCTGCTACACCTGATGATCCTTTTCTGTTTGCCCTGCCCAACGCAATGCAGATCGACCAGCTTGTGAGCGAAGGGCTGTTTGAAGAGGCGCTCTCCCTGTGTGAGGGGCTGGAGGATGGGAAGGCGGTTGATTCCACCTATCTGATACCTATTCCTTCTCCACTGCCCCTGCTTGTCACAATGTAGATCGACCAGCTAGTGAGCGAGGGGCTGTTTGAAGAGGCGCTCTCCCTGTGTGAGGGGCTGGATGATGTCGAGGGGGAGGAGGAGGGGAGCGGCCAGCCAAGGAGGCGTATGGACTTGGTTCGACTGCGGTGAGTAGAACGCCGTATCATGCGCATGTGCATGTGCATGTGCATGTGCATGTGCATGTGTTGAGCATCATATCATCCTCTTCCTCTCCGTCTGCTCCATCTCAACTCAACCTCTCTCTCCCACTCTTCTCCCAACATTGCCCATGGAGCCTCTGCTCCTTGCCTGCCCCTTCTTTCTTGTTCATTGTTGTCTTGTATCATCCTCTCTCCTTTCCGTCTCCCCCCCATCTCCACCTTGCCTGCCCTTTCTTTCTTGTTCATTGTTGTCTTGTATCATCCTCTCTCCTTTCCGTCTCCCCCCCATCTCCACCTTGCCTGCCCCTTCTTTCTTGTTCATTGTTGTCTTGTATCATCCTCTCTCCTTTCCGTCTCCCCCCCATCTCCACCATGCCTGCCCCTTCTTTCTTGTTCATTGTTGTCTTGTATCATCCTCTCTCCTTTCCGTCCCCTCCATCTCCACCTCCTTCTCCCCCCCCTCCCAGTCTTGCCCACCATCTATTCTCATCGGGTGAATTCGACCGGGCCATGCAGCAACTCGCCCGCTGCTCCTTGCCCCTCCTCCTCCCACCTCGTCTATCTTGTTTATTAATATTGTGTTATCATCCTCTCTCCTTTCCATCTCCCCCATCTCCACCTGCCTCTCTCCCTCCCTCCCAGTCTCGCCCACCATCTATTCTCATCGGGTGAATTCGACCGGGCCATGCAGCAACTCGCCCTCTGCTCCTCGCCGCCCCTCCTCCAAGCCCTCTCGCTCTTCCCCTTCCTCCCCTCCCTCCCCTCCTCCATCCTCTCCCTCGCTGCCTCCTCCTCCCCCTACCCTCCCTCCTTCCCCTCCGCCTCCCCCTCCTCCCCCTCCTACCCTCTCTCTCCTTCCTCCACACCTTCTGCTGCTGCAACACCACTGGGAGTGCAATCGCAATCAGATCTAACCGGGCGGCAGCGCAAGCTGGCATTGCTGTCTCTAGTGGGTTTCCTGGCAGAGAAGCGAGCAGCGGCTGTAGCATCTGCAGCAGCAGCAGGAGCATCATCATTATCAGCAGCAGCACCACCAGTGGCAGCTGCTGCTTCTGCCACTGCAGTAGCGGAGCCTCTAGGAAAGGAAGGAGAGGAGAACGAGGGAGAGGAGCAGCAGATCATGTCAGCAGCCGAAGCATCAGCAGTTGTGATCGACACGTACCTCTCTCTTGCCCTCCAGTCCCTCACCCCCCTCCCACCACCACTCCCCTTCTCCTCCACACTACCTGTTACAGCTTCCGCAGCAGAAGCATCAGCAGCATCAACTGAAGCAGATGCAGCACAAGCAGCAGAGGCAGAAGCAGCAGCAGAGGCAGAAGCAGCAGCAGAGGCAGAAGAGAGGGCGATCCTCTCTGAATCACCGCCTGACTCGCCCGAGACTGCCTTTGACTTCAACCACTCGCTCTTCTCCTCCTCCGGCCCTCTCACCTTCGGGGCGCGTCCCAGCCCCTCTCCCCCTGCTGCCACTAGCAGCAGCTACAACACCCACAGTTCCCTTGGCAGTAACATCAAGAATGGCGATGCAACCGCCACCGTAGAAAGTAGCAGCAGCAGTAACAACCTGGGAACGAGTGGTGGTGGTGGTGGTGGGGGGGTGTTTTTCGAAGGGCCTCTGGATGCAGCCTCTGTTTCTCGCGCTGCTGCTGCTGTCACTGCTGCTGCTTCTGCTGCTGCTGTGCGTACTGGTGATGGGCATGAGCAGGCGCTAGCCATACAGGCAGCACCTTCTGAGTTCTCCCCTGCAGCGGTTGATCGCTTTATTGCCGCTCTCTCTGTTCAGACACCTCTCTCTCAGCCTCTTCCTCCTGCTTCTTCTCCTTCACTTGTCATTCCGAATCAGGAAGGGAGAGGTGGTGGGACTGATAATGAGTTATTTCAGATGCAGAGCGAAGGAGCGGGGAGAGGTGGAGGGGGGGCATCCATGTCAGCGACGGGTGTTGCTGACTCAGCGGACCCGATGCACCCGCTCCGATCGGCTCTGCATGCGTTGTGGGCAGCCGATAACTTCTGCCACGTCAGCACTGTGGAGGCGGCGCTGCGTGAGGAGGACAGGTGGCGCGACGTGATTCGCTTTCTATTTTTCAAAGGATTGCACAGAGAGGGTCTTGTGTTCTTAAGAGAGATGCTTAACGGCGGTGGTGTGGGAATGGGGTGGGAAGGGGAGGAGGGGACAGAGGCGGTGGGAAGGAGAAAGGAAGAGAGAGAAGGAGCAGAGGAAGAAGGGGAGGTTGCTGGTTGTACTGGTGGTAGTGGTGGTGGTGGCACGACGGGAAGGAGGAGGGATGCTGACGTGGTAGAGAACTGCTTCAAGGAATACGTGGAGCTGCTAGGTCAGCAGCCACGTCAGCAGCCGCTCGTGCTGGAGGCGCTGACGTGGCGCTTTGAGGACGACCCGACAGCTGCGCTGGCGCTGCTCACATCACTGCGACACCCCCCTCCCAACGGTTTGCATGCATGCTACCTTTTCGATCCTTTTCAAACCTTTTCAAACCTTCTCAAGCCTTCTCAAACCCTTCCCAATCCCAACCTTCTCACACCTTTTTAAGAGAGTTACGCGGTTTCCCTCACGCTGCTCCCCTGTCGTCCCTGTCCCTCTTCTTGGGTCGTCTCAAAGCCCTGTCTCCTCTCTCTCTCCCAACCCACCAAACCTGGTGCTCTCTCATCTGCCCACCTGGTGCTCTCTCATCTGCCCACCTGGTGCTCTCTCATCTGCCCACCTGGTGCTCTCTCATCTGCCCACCTGGTGCTCTCTCATCTGCCCACCTGGTGCTCTCTCATCTGCCCACCTGGTGCTCTCTCATCTGCCCACCTGGTGCTCTCTCATCTGCCCACTTATCCGTCAGGCGGCCCCTCATCTCACTGCCTCAGTCCTCGGGCATCTCATGGAGCAGAGCACACGTTCAGGCCATGGGCGAGGGGGTTGCAAGCTGCTCCTCCCTGCCATCCCCCTCTCATGGTGGCCCCGTCGCCCATGGCCCATCTCTCTCTCATGGACCCCCGTCTCTCTGTCCTCCCTCCCCACCCGCTCCTGCCCCATCAGACCTGGTGCTCTCTCTCATCCGCCAAGTCGCCCCTCACCTCAGCGCCTCCTTCCTCGAGCACCTCTTGGAGCAAACCGCTCAGGCCATGGGCGAGGGGGGCGGAGGGGAGGGCGTGGGGGAAGGGGACGGGGAGGGGGAGGAGGAGGAGGAGCAGGAGGGATCTGGAGAGGGTTGGAGGGGCAGCAGCGGCAGCGGTGGTGGTGGGGGGAGCGGGAGAGGGAGTGGGGAGAAGGGAAGACGGTGGATTAGCAGCAGTGGGGCCGGTGGGTCTGGTGGTGGTGCTGGTGGGAGTCAGGGGGTGCAGGATGTGGGAGCAGCAGCGTCACAGCTACAGCTAGACCTGGTGAGTGTGTGTCTTCCGTGCTGATTTTTGAGTCTACATGCTATAGTTCTTTTCATGGTAGAGTGGAGTGGATCATGTTCTTCATGCCTCTTGTTCCTCTTCTTCGGTAGCTTGTCTCTCTCCTTAGCACCTCTGGTCCCTCTCCCACACATCGTTTATACCCATCCCATACCTCTCCCCCCTTATTCATACCACTTTTACTCCTCCCTCCCATACCTCTCCTGATGCTCTTCCGAACCTCAGGTTCGGCTCAGCCTTCACCGGGTCAAAGCAGAGCTCTGTCAATCAGCAGCAGCCACGTCAGCAGCAGCAGAGCGCCTTGCTGTGATTGGTCCAGAGAGGGCGAAGCTGGCAGCCGTGTTGCAGCGGATCAGGTTGCGACTTATTCCAGAGGTGAGATGCGGTGCAGTGAGGTGAGGAGAGGTGGGGTGTGGTGCGGAACAGTGTTGTGTGGTTTATAGGGTGGGGTGGGTGTGGGATCGATTGCAGGTTGGGAGGGGAAGAAGGGAGGGGATGGGAAGGGGGGTTAGATGAACGTAGGGTGGTGAAGGTTGAGGTGGATTGAGGTTAGATGAGTTTGTTTGTTTGTTTTTTTTTTTTTAACCACAATTGAGTGGGTTGGGTCTTTGAACTTGCCTGGTCCTGCAGCAGTGATGCACGCCCTCGCTCACCCCGCCCTTTGCGATTCCAATGAGCGACTGCCACAGCACCAGCATTACAGCACCGCACCTTGCTGAGTGATCTTGTACTAACTCATACAGCGATTTTCCCATCTTGCTTTCCTCTTCATTCCACTCGTAACATCCCCTCCTCCCTGCTCGTCCCTCCAGGTGCTTCAAATTCTTCCTCCACACGCTCTCTATTGAGAATAAAGCCTTCCTTCTCCTGCACTCCACACCCCTCCATCTGCCCATGCATCTAGCCATGCCACTGACCGCCGTCCCTCAACCCCCTTACAATTTCCCTCCAGGTGCTCCAAATGCTCCCTCCACACTCCCTCTTTGAGGAGAAGGCTTCCCTTCTCCTGCGCCTCCTGCTGCACACCCACGCCCATCCACCCACCCAGGCCACAGCTGCACCATCACCAACAGCAGCAACAGCAGCGTCAGCAGGAGGAGCAGCAGCAGCAGCAGGCGGTGCAACCGCAGCGACGCCGTTAGGAGCAAGAACGCCCATGCGTGCAGCAGAAGCGGCAGCAGCGGCAGTGGAGGCAGTGGGCGGTCGGGATGCGCTGCTGTGGATGGTGCTTGTGCTCTACGCCAGGAAGGTGTGACATCTTATTGGGAAGGCATGTGATGAAATAAGTGTTTTGTGACGTCTCAAAGCACTTCTTTCTTCAGCAGTGCAGGCAGTGGGCGGTCGGGATGCGCTGCTGTGGATGGTGCTTGTGCTCTACGCTAGGAAGGTACGATGCGTGCTTGTGGTGCCCATGCGATGCAAAGGAAGCGCAGCGGCAGCAGTAGAGGCAATGGGGGGTCCGGATGCGCTGCTGTGGATTGTGTTTATGCTCTATGCAAAATCGGTATGCAATGCAAGGACGGGCAGTGACAGCAGTAGGGTGGGCAGTGGGTGGTTTGAATGCTCTGCTGTGGATGGTGCTTGTTCTGTGTATTGGGTTGACTCAAAACATGGATGGTGCCAGGAAGCTTCCCTTGGCCTGGGTTTCTCCGTTAGGGGGGGATGATCGGCCACATGAGGATTGCCCTTGGCTTTATTAACAGTGTCTGCAGGATACACATTCAGGTGTATGGATTATTAACATGGTCAATTGTGTGGTGCTTGAAACACACCCCTTCCCGCCCGCCACGCCACTCCTTCCCACCCTTCCCCCCACCCAACTCCCAAGCAGCTGAATCAGCCCCTTCACTGCATCTCCATCTGCGACCAGCTTCTCTCCCTCTCCCCTCCTCCCTCTCGCCCATCCCCTCCCTCTATTGCTCCCTCCTTCTTACCCTTCATCTCCCCTCGAATGCCTCCTCCTCCTTCCACCACCACCACAACCACCACCAACAACACCAACACCTCATTCTCTTCCTCTTCTCCTCTCTCCCAGATTCCTGCGCTCATCCCTCTCCTGCCTCCCTTCTCCACCTCCTCCATAACCGCTTTCCAATCCACTCCCACCGCTCCCGCCACCGCCGCCACTGCACAAGCACAAGCACCAGCAACAGCGGCAGCAGCAGTGGGAGGGGAAACAAGAGGAGCAGCAACAGGAGGAAGAGGAGGAGAAACAAAAGGGGCTGCAAGGGAGGAGGCTATGCCTGATGTGGGAGGGAGCAGCTCTAGCAACTCCAGCGCCCTTCTTACCGCTTCCACGCCCCACCAGGTGCTGCTGCGGGTGCTGTTGCTGTCTGACGTGGCGCTGACTCAGTTTGCCGCCCACTTTGGAAGGTTCTACCCCGTCAGTCAAGGGGAGGGGGAGGAAGAGAAGCAAGATGAGGAAGGTGCGGAGAAGGTGCATGGAAAGGGGGGGTCAGGAGGTGGACAAGAGGGAAAGCAAGCAGTCAGCGCAGAAACAGCAACAGCAGACGCTGCCGCAGAAACAGCAACAGCAGACGCTGCAGCAGGGGCGATCAGTGCAGAGAGAAAGGGAAAGAGGCTGGCTGTGATAGCAGATGTGGAAGGGGACGAGGAGGGGGGCAGGGAGGGAAGCAGCATCCTTGCATCTTCTGTTCCAGTCTCCTCAACCCTACAGAGCTACACGGGTGTGACAGAGAGCAAGAAGGACGAAGGAGAAGCAAGTCAAGTGGTTGATGTGGTTGGGAGGCGAGGGGGGGCGAACAGATGGGGGCTGAGGGAGGGAGTGATGGTGGCGGCGGCTCTTGAGGTGATGGAGAGGCGGTGGGCCATGATCGACCCCATGGAGGCGCTACACATGATGCCACACGACGTGCCACTACAGGTGAGATATGATGTGTGTGGGGTAATTAGCAATGAGCAGCACTGCACAGGTGGGGGCTAAGGGAGGGAGTGATGGTGGCGGCGGTTCTGGAGGTGATGGAGAGGCGGTGGGCGATGGTTGAACCTTTTGAGGCGTTACACATGTTACCGCACGACGTCCCGTTACAGGTATGAGAGATGGTTTATATGAGGGAGTGATAGGGGGAGGTGATGGAGAGGCGGTGGGCGATTTTTTAACCCATGGAGGTGTTACACATGTTACCAAGTTACATGCCGTTGCAGGTAGGATGCAGATGAGGATGAGGCAGGGCACATGGATTCATATGTTGGGATCAGTTTCGAGCATTCTCATAAGTGATTTTTCGAGAATTCATTTATGACACATGGGCTGTTGGGCACATGGGCTGTTGGGCACATGAGGGCTGTTGGGCACATGAGGGCTGTTGGGCACATGAGGGCTGTTTTTGGAAAGTCAACCGCACCGCCACCTGCATCTCCCCCGCACACCCCCCCACAACCCTAGACCCTGTTTGCACTACCTGACCGTGTTGCCATACCTAGAGGCAGTGCTGTGGGCGGGCAGTGAGCAGAGGAGGAACAGTGCTGGTTTACTTGCAGCGAAGTTTCAATCTTCTCAAGAGTGTCCTGCACCCCCACCCCCACCCCCACCCCCACCCCCACCCATTTCTCAGAGTGTGCTGCCATAGCTAGAGGCAGTGCTGCGGGCGGCAGTGAGTAGAGAAGGAACAGTGGTGGTTTACCTACAAGTCACCCACCCCCCCACTTTCATCCACCCCCAACCCCACCCTTTTTTCAGAGCGTGCTGCGATATTTAGAGCCAGTGCTGCGGGTCGACAGTGAGCAGAGGAGGAACGAGCTGGTTTACTAACAACGCAATCCCACCCACCCCCATCCACACCCCACCCATTCTTCAGAGTGTGCTGCCGTATCTAGAGGCAGTGCTGCGGGCCGGCAGCGAGCAGAGGAGGAACAGTGCAGTGGTGAAGAACCTCAGGCGGAGCGAGAACCTGCAGGTGAGCGGTGCGGTGCGGTTGGTGAGGGGTGCAGTGGGGCTGGTGATGGGTACAGTGTGGCAGGTGAGGGGTACACTGTGTGCGTGTCTGACCTGTCCCTCATTCCATCCTCTCTCTTCTCCTTCTCACTCTCTCACATCCCACACACGTCTCCTTCCTCTCGTCACCCGTCCGTCCCCTCTATATCGCCTTCCCTCCGATACAGTCCATGCACGAAGCGGGAGATGAGCATCAGGGGGTATCCCCAACCTGTCTTCCCTCCCCTGACCTCCTCCTTTTCTCGTTCGTCCCTCCCCATCCCTCCCCACTTGCCCCTCTCCTCCTCCCCTGCACGCACAGCTCCGGGAGGAGTTAGCGAATGGCAGGAAGCGCCATGTCAGCATCACAGGGGACCGGCTGTGCGCCATCTGTCGCAAGCGGATTGGAGGGAGCGTGTTTGCCGTCTATCCGGGTGGCACACTGGTGCATTTTGTCTGCTTTCAACACCACCAGACACAGCTGCCTGCTGCTGCGGGTCCGTGATTGGGAAGTCAGATCAGTCGCCTGCAGGGTACCTATCTATCTGTAACATTTTGTCTGCTTCCAACACCACCAGATGCAGCTGCCTGCAGCAGCGGGACCATAATTGGGAAGTCAGATCAGTCGCCTGCACGGTACTTGTAACGTTTTGTCCGCTTCCAACACCACCAGACGCAACTGCCTGCTGCTGCTGGTCCATGATGGGGAATGAGTCGCTTCCATGACTGGAAAGGCAGTAGCCTGCAGGGTATTTGTAACATTTCATCTACGCTACTTCCAATCCAACACCAGATGCAGCTGCCTGCTGCGGCAGGACCATGACGGGGAGTTTGTTGCTTTCAGGGTACCGGTTTAGTAGAAAGAATAAGAGAGTAGGGCTTGCATGAATTATTGTTTAACCCCAAAAATAGCACGACTTCTTCCTTGCATCAAGTATATTCACTTTGTAGCTGCACCATTTTGCTCACAATAGAACCTCTGTGTATATTTTTGTTTTGAGCAGCGGGTAAGAAAGAAACTACTTATGGTTGGTATGGTAGGATTGCGTTTCGCTGTGAAGGGTATGCCGAATAATGACGGTTCCTTCGGGTCCGGTAGGCTGCAGAGCGTTTTGCAGTTTGGCAGTACGGTGGAGCTGTGTGGTGAGATCTGTAATTTCAGCTCTGCTCCACCCCAAATATCCCTGACCAGACCAGATCAACACACGGCTCGTACCGTTTCTCCCTTCTAATTAGTTGCTTCACTTCTCTTTTTCCTCTTTCCTCCTCGATTTACCTTCAGACGTGCGGAATCTTGCTGTAACTCCTCTAGACAAGTTTTATATCTCACTCGCCATTCCACATAAGGCCGCACGTCCCACTAGTCTCTCCTAGCGTGAAACTTTCTCCTGTCTTTTGAAGTGTTTTTAGCCAGTCAATCGCAACGTCGTCGTTTTCTCCGTAGGAACGTTGTTTTGCAACATTTCCTTCCTATTCGCCCGGCGTTCTTTTACCTTCACGTGCGGCTTCGCGTGGAGACTCCAGAAGCGCCAAGATGGCGACCAAAGTGCAGCGGATTATGACCCAGCCCATTGTGCGTGCTAAGACTCACGGTGTCTCCGAGTTTTTTTTTTAATTACCTAGAGAAGTCTAAGGAAAGTGCAATGGATCAAGGCGAATTCCTCTGTGCGTGCTACTGCTCGTCGGGCTGAAGATCGGTTCTTGTGCTGGTGCCTTTGGTCGGGACTGTAGTGTTTTTCGCCGATTGCATCACCCAGCTAGTCATTCCTCCACTATTGCCGCTTTTTAATCTTGCTCTTTCGGATATTTGAGATTCGCTTACGGCATAACTGGGTTGTCAGACGAAATTCCTCGGTACCTAAATAGCAGTCATCGCATTTAGGGTTCCACTACCCCAAGTCTAAATCTTGTCTCATTTTTCTCTTTCGTCTCACTCCATGCCCCCTGGTTTTTCACGGTGTCGTTTCTTAGTATCATCTTTTCCCTCGTCTAATAACGTACCTATTCTTCCCCTCCCTTCCGTACCCCTTCTTCCCCACCGACCCCCACCCCCCTCCCGCCTCGCCCTCCCCCCGTTTCCACTCGTTCCCCCTTTTCCCGCCGTCCCTGTCGCATGTGGCCATCTGTACATGGGCGCGTCGCGTGCAATTGTCGTTGCGGCCTTGACGCCTTCAGAACTTGATATTTCGATTTCTACAAAGTGTGAGTACGGCCTTTCAAAATTCTGTTCCGGGCCGCTGCGATCCTCTCTCCGTGACCGTTCGATAACGGCTGGCTCCGTGCACCTTTTTTTATTTTCCGTTTCCGATTGGGCAATTAGCGCACGGCGCAATCCGACAAAGGTCACGGTTGCTGCAATGGGTCCGCCCTCCGGATTGGTTCGGCTAGGGCTGATTGTTGACTCAATCCCTAGTGTTGACTCGCGGGGTGCAGGATTGGCTTTGGGTCCCGCTTTTGTTCTGAACTGGGGTACAGGTTTTGAGTCGACTCAAAACTGAACTGGGGTACAGACTGTTATGGATCGCGAAACCGATGCTCCCGCTGCGACCGTGAAGAGGAGTTTGCTTAGGGTGCCAACATTTGTCTTTCTTTCTTTTCTCCTGGGTGTCTCCAAGGAAGCGAGCTGACTTTTGAGTCGTCTCAAAAGTCGCTTAGGGTGCCAACATTTTTCTTTCTTTATTTTCTCCTGGGTGTCTCCGAGGAATCGCGCAAGCGTTCAACTCCGTCCGTGTCTCTTTCCCACTCGCATCCGTCATGATCATCATTTCGCACAGCCTCCCCCGGGTTCCGCCCTTCTTGTCAGGGCACCTCCCACTGCCCTGACCACTGACCAGTGACCACTTATTGAAGCTCAGAAATCGCCTCCCCCGGGTTCCGCCATTCTTGTCAGGGCACCTCCCACTGCACTGACCATTGACCAGTGACCGCCCCCCCATCTCTCCCCCCTTTCGGTGTTGTACTTGCTTCTGGTGTCTCTGATTGGCTGCTCCCATCTTGTTGGCCGCGCTTTCCCTGCAGAAATCGCGGATTCAGATCTGGCTGTACCAGCAGAAGGACACGCGGATCGAGGGGAGAATCATTGTGAGTAGTAAACTCACCATGCAACGCCTCTGCAGGAGACCCTTTTGCGCACCCATTTGCTCATGTTTTGCGAGAATCACTGTGAGTCTACTCCTTCATTAGCTGTCGCCATATTTTGTGCGTACTTCTGCGAATGTGTTGTGATTGCATTGCACTTCCTTGCAGTCACTGGTTGCATACTTTTGAGGCGCCTAAAAAATGCTGTGATTGCACTTCCTTGCAGTCACTGGTTGCATACTTTTGAGGCGCCTAAAAAATGCTGTGATTGCACTTCCTTGCAGTCACTGGTTGCATACTTTTGAGGCGCCTCAAAAATGCTGTGATTGCACTTCCTTGCAGTCACTGGTTGCATACTTTTGAGGCGCCTCAAAATTGCTGTGATTGCACTTCCTTGCAGTCACTGGTTGCATACTTTTGAGCCGCCTAAAAAATGCTGTGATTGCACTTCCTTGCAGTCACTGGTTGCATACTTTTGAGGCGCCTCAAAAATGCTGTGATTGCACTTCCTTGCAGTCACTGGTTGCATACTTTTGAGGCGCCTCAAAAATGCGGTGATTGCACTTCCTTGCAGTCACTGGTTGCATACTTTTGAGGCGCCTCAAAAATGTTGTGATTGCACTTCCTTGCAATCACTGGTTGCACTATCTCGCACCTACCTACCATTGATACCCCCCTTCCCAACTCAACCCCCCCTTCCCTTCACACCTTTCGTGTGGCTCATGCCCTGGCCTCGCTCGTGCCTTGCTCTCTCTCATGCCTTTCCCTTTCCCGTGCCTTTTCAATATTGAATCATGTGCTTCAATGTGCCATCATCCTTGTCAGGTCTATGACGTGACGAGTACATAAATCTGTTTCTTGAAGACGCAGAGGAGAAATTTATGGAGAACAGGAACTTATGTGTCCCCTTCATCCCTCTCTTTCAACCCATCTCCCTCACAGGGCTGTGACGAGTACATGAATCTTGTGTTGGGGGATGCAGACGCGGGGACTTTCCTCCTGTGGTCTCTCACCCTCCCTCCCTCCCTCCTTTCTTATCCGCTTTCATCTGCCTTGGCCCCTCTCAGGGTTTCGACGAGTACATGAATCTGGTGCTGGAAGATGCAGAGGAGATTTCCATGAAGAAGCAAACCAGGAAACCACTTGGTATGTTTTTCTGTTTCCACTCTACCTCACTCCTCTCCACCCCAATGCACTCCACCCCTTGCCTTACTGCTAGTCGCACCTCTCTTGTCTCATAATTGCACTCCAGATATGGGTCATTCTGACCTCATTGCACCTCAGTTCTTCTGAGGAAATACAAAAGAAACAGAAAACTTATTGTGCTAGTTCTTTTCCCACCTTCCTCTCTTTCTGGTTTTCCTTATTGCCACTCCTCCTTGCATGCCGTCTCCCCTCTGCTCCTCCTGCCTTTTCCTCCCGTTTTCTCCTACCCTGTGCGCCTACCCGCTTCTCCTCCCTTCTTCTCATCCACTCTTCCTGTCCGCTCTGCTCTTCCCCGCTTCTCCTCCCCTCTTCTCCCCCCCTTTCTCCTCCCCTCTTCTTCTCCCCGCTTTTTCCCAGGCCGCATATTACTGAGAGGAGACAACATCACGCTCATGATGAACACGTGAGTGCCTCGCCCTTGCTTCCACACATCGTCTATACGGTGTGGTGTGGCATGTGCCGTGCTGCCATTCCATGTTGACGCCACTTTTGTTGTAAGTCGACTTTGAAAAAAAAAAAAATGCCATTCCTTCCGCCCTTCGTCCATGCTGTGGCATGTCATGTGTCGTGCTGCCATGCCGTGTTGGAGTCACTTTTGAGAACTCTTGGATTTTTTTTCCGCTCCGCCCGTCTTCTGAGCGGTGGTCTGATGTGCCGGGCTGCCTTTTGAGAATTCTCAAAAGCCCTGTGAATCTTGAAAGCCAACCCACTATTAGCCTTGACACGGCAAATGCTTCATCCGTAGGGGTTGCTTTTGGGAATTCTTAGAAGCTGTGCTGCCTGCCATGCCATGTGGTTCTTGAAAGCCAACCTACTAGGAACGTAATCCATCCCGTTTCATCCAATCACACATTCCATTCCATTCCATCCCACTACATCCCATCCCGTTCCATTCCAGTCCAAATTGCATCGCTCTCCATTCTAATCCATCCCACTTTTGAGCCCGTTCCTGCACTAATTAAGGGCCAACGGTTGCCTCAACTCTGGCTTTATTTTCGTCCTGCCTGCCTTTGACTGCATGCTTGAACCCATCTTTTTCCATCCAGGGGGAAATAACAAGGGGGGGATAGCAAGTGCGCCTGGCTGTGCGAGTAGAATGCTGACCTGCTTCGAAGCAAGTTGCACACCGTCGCTTCCCTCCCTTAACTCGCATCGCCTTGCTGTGCTGGCACTGGGGGATCTTGTGTGGCTGTTTTCCGTTGATAAGAGGCATGTAAGCAGACACATTTTGTAATGTGTTGCAGAGATGCACGGTAGGTATTAACGCGGTGTGTCGCCACACCAGCGCGGCAATGCTAATTGTAAACACCTGAAGTCTAGGAATTCCTGTGTGCTTTTAACACCCTAAGGCCAACCCAAACCAGACTGCACAACACCTGCTATTTGATAGTGGAGCCTTGATTGAAGGTAGCAGAGTCTTTTTCTGTCTCCAATGCATAAGTACATTTACCATATGTATTGCTTTTACTACTGCCACACGTGCAACACCATTGTAACAAGGGAATAGCACACAGGCCACGATCTTCCATAACATTATAATTATAAACACATTGTGTTTTTTAAAATTGTGTATTGTGAAAGCGAAGCTGCTTGTACTGCACAATTGGCATCGTCGAAGCGCGCTAAACGCCCTTCTCCAACTACAAAAACCGTGGGTTGGAGTTCATTTCCCTCCACCCACGTTTCTCGATTTTCATACGGCTCACTCAACACTTCTGCTCACGTAGTTTATCCCTCCGTCCAAGCTGGCTAGAACAAAATCGCTTCCTAGAGGCGAGTCACCTTCGACCTTACTCAACGATATTTTTAACTTCAATCGCTCAAC